GTAAACAACTTGACGCCGTGAACTCTTATGACGTTGTGACGTCATTACCTGTTTTTCTGAGCCCGCGATAAAAGTGCAAGATGGCCGCCACCAGAGCGATATATGCGATGTTTTGAAATTATTTTTTTAGGAACACGGATGCTCTATCCCCTCTAAAAATTGAATTTTTGTGTTTCTCATTTGATGTACTTTCTCTTAAAAATGGGTCATTTTGGGGGGTAAGTTGCCCTTTAAGTTGTAAATTATAACTATTTCTAAAATGAATCTACCTTCATACATAAATAATAGGGGTTTATCATCATCATACATGCTTTTTTCATAGGTGGTGGTCTGGGTGGAACCAGAGTGGGAGGACCTGATCAAAATGTCAAACACTCAGGACGTGTGGATAGCACTGAGAACTATGATGATAGCAAGTAAGAAACTTGAGTATTAATAGTCCCCTTCACAGTCCCCGGCGCCATCTTGAAAGGTAGCTGTGCCTTTGAATGGAAGCGAGATGAACGGTGAGCTTGCAATGATAGAGATGTGAATAATCGTACAAGATGTTAAAAAAGGTCTCTATCATTGCAAGCTCACCGTTCGTCTCGGTTCGATTTAAAGGCACGGCTACCTTTCAAGATGAAGCTGGGAACTGTGAAGGGGACTATTCCATTATGTGGACGGCAGTGGGTCAAATCTCTAACTAACTGACTAACACGTAGTTCTCAAATAACTATAGAAGAGGTGGGGGAAAGAAGAAATGACAACGAGTAATAATATTGGTTCTTTGGGTGGAAGGCTTAGGGTTAAGTCTGTTCTGACTAACTAATACTTGGAGTTCTCATAATAATTATAGAAGAGGTGGGAAAAGAAGGAAGGGAACAATAACACAATTCGGTTCTTTTGGTGCAAGGCTTTTTGTACCCAAGACATCCGAAACCTTTGAAATAAATGATAAAAAAATACATTTTTTCTCTCCTATTTTTCAGGGATCGTGATAGAGAACGTGAAAGAGGTGATAGAGACCGCAGTCGTGATCGTGAAAGACGTGAACGTCGTGAGCGTGACCGTGGCGAGCGTGACCGGGGCGACCGTGATCGCGGCGATCGTGATAGAGACCGAGATCGTGACAGACGAGAACGAGATAGATATAAGGAGCGTGACAGAGAGGGCAAAGATAAACGTAAACGCAGTAGATCACGTGACAGGTAACTACATAAATTGTAATTATTGATTGTGAAAAAGTCACAACACTGTGATATGCCGTAACCTCCACTAAAGTCGTGATTAGTCGAAGTCTCAACAAGAGTCTCTTTGGCAACACGGTCGTGGCACGGCAATGCATACGCCAGCCCATTCATATTGCCCAAGAAATTAGTCTCCCTCCAATTAAATACCCGAAACACGGCATGGACATGGTCACGTCAAGGTYACGGAACTGCCAGACCAGTCACATTGCGCGAGAAAAAATCCCCCAATCGAAATTCTAGGAAAAATCACGGTCGCGGCAAGGCAAGCATACGGTAGCGACTTTTTCACAGTCATGGGAAAACTGCTCTATTTAATAGTACGCTAACCTTTTCATCATGAAACTCTCTGACTATTTAGGGACCGGGATCGTGAACGAGAAAAGAGGCGGCGTGATCGTGACCGAGGAGAACGTGACCGAGGAGAGCGTGACCGAGGAGAGCGTGATCGTGGAGAGCGTGACCGTGGAGATCGTGATCGTGGAGACCGTGATCGTGAAGAGCGTGATAACGAGCGTGACAATGATCGCGATTATGATCGCAATGATGACCGTATGAGGGATGAGCCCGAAGAGTACGGACAGTACGCTAACAACAACTCGGTGCATAATAACGCTGACTTGGAGATGGTGGACTGAAATCTAGTAACGTGACTTTTTTTTAACATTTAAACTAACAATGCGACCCAACGGACCTTAAATAACTATTGTAACGTAATGGTTATCACGTGATTAACGGCATCACGTGATAACTACATTAGTCGACGACTTGGCCAAAGTTACTTAACTTGATGGGGACAATAATTTGTGGAACTTCAAGTAGAGTGTAAACCATACATCCGTGAAAAAGTTAAATACTATCAAAATGGTACAAATTAGTGCAAAACTTTGTAGGTCTACAGTCTACTGAGGTCACTGAACTTACTAATTTGTGCCATTTCTTACGATGGCTCTCGCGGATATATGCTATGCACTCTTTTGTAATACTGAAACCTATTCACTGTTTGTCACGACGTGATCTGATATCTCATTGACAGCCTTAAACTGTATTCTTTTACTCACTTTAGTTCGGTACACCAATATTTTTGTCATCTCATCTCATCTCATCCCACCACATATTCATTTATATACATTGAAATAATCTTAAATGAAGCTATCGTGTAGATGTAAGATGCTGGTCTTTTCTCTAGTAACTGGTTTGTATTCACATTACACAGGGATTTTCTTTATGTATAGTGTATTGTGAGCGAATTTCATTTATATGAAGACAGCATCAATCAAGGCCAGCCATGAGAGAAGGCAGAACGGATTGAATCTGGTCTAACCTGATTTACATGATGTTGTGCCTCATGTAATGGCTGCCATAACGTGATGGTTCAAAGCCCCTATAGCAGGCATCCCAGACCTCCTATATATCCTATATTTCCTATAATTTGTATAGGATCCTATAAAGAGCCTATATTTAAAGAAAACCTATATTTCCTATAAATAGGACGAATGCTGATTGATACATTTATATTTTACCCTGTTTAGTATATTTGGCGAAGGAAATAAAATGGCCCTTTTTTTCTTTTTTGGTTCTTTTTTTTAATGGCTTTTTAGTTCTGCCAATTATTGCCTGTGCACCCTCCCGATCCAAAGCTATCTTAGCTCCTATAAAGTGCATATATGTTTGGGAAAAAATCCTATATTTTCCTATGTTTAGAACTTGCACAGCCTATATTTCCTATCAAATTTATCTAAAAAGTGGCTGGGATGCCTGCTATAGTAGCAATTATTAAATTTTCCATTTTTCTGTTTACAAAGTTTTTAGATGGAATTCGAAATAAGTAAATAAAGATACGCGTGGACTAATTGTGCCGTTTCTCATACTTGAAATTTTATTCGAATTGGGATCCTCTTCCACACACATGAAGCTTACAGGAATATCATTTGATAAAGTTAGAACCCTTTTACACAAAGGTGGGACTGAATGACTTTAGTGCTAGTGACAAATCTTTTGTTTTCCTTTTGCAGGGGACACCAAAAGAGGTAGCCCTAGCTGAAGGGTCACCCTACCTTATGAGAAACCATTTATCATAAAGGTAGGGTGACCCTGTTGCTAGGGAAAAGTCTTAAGCTTCCTTTCCCAGGAGATACCAGAGGTCGCCCTAACTTATGGAAGACCGTTCACATAAGGTAGGGTGACCCTGGTGCTAGGGACAAGTCTTCTGCTTCCTTTCCCAGGGACACCAAAAACAAGAGGTAGCCCCAGCTGAAGGGTCACCTTACCTTATGAGAGACCGTCAACATGGAGGTAGGGTGACCTTGGTGCTAGGGACAAGTCTCGTTATCTTTCCCAAGGGGACAAAAACAAGGGTAAGTCCAAGCAGTAAGAACACCCTACCTCATGACAGATTGTCACATGAAGGTAGGATGGCTTTAGGGCTAGCATTGGGGTCACGTGCTAACCAAGAATAGAGGCATGCCAGCCGTGTTGATGTACATAACAAGAGAAACTAACTAGAAATCTTATGAATAAACAAACCACGCCATTCTATCAATATTTTGCTATTTAATTTGGACAGAATAAATAACTTTGTTCCGTATAAAACGGAATAATTTGCAAGCCGTATTTCAAACCAACGCAATCGTGGAACCAACTTCACTTGTAGAGCATAGTATGCTAAAACTGAAATCCAAGATATAAAYTTGCCCTAACAAATTCACACCTTTTAACCATGTAAAAAATAGATTTTCGTATTCACTTCAACAATCTCTTCTCTTTTTTTTACTTTCATTGAAATACGAATAAATTGAATAACAAAACTGCGGATATAATCTAGTTGAAACTCGAGGTTTTTCAAGTGTTACATCTTTAATGTTCCATTTTGAGCAGGTATGGTTTGAACTTCCTGTTATCCCGCTGAGTAAGACGGGAGAGGAGCATCAAATAAATTACAGTTTTTCTCCGACTTCTCTTTAGTATGATGGAAAACGTTTTACTCTACTCATTTTTCTGCCTTCGTCTCCACAGTAATGTAACGTTTAAATTCGTTGTCATTTTTTGTTTTGTGCCAAGGCATTTATTTCAAATATTTCTTTATCATCAATTTCAAACAACTCTGATTTGAAAATTTATGACTCCTGCCATTCCAACATGCGGGATATTCATTCCACGCCGACTATAGGGAGAGATGTAAACTATGTTTTATCAGGCTATTTTTCTCGGATAAAAGCATCCGAGCTCCCGTGACCTGTTTGTTGGTCAGAAGCCTGGAGCTTGGAATTTTTTTTCCTAGCGAAAAAAAAATTCGCTTCGTGAAACATAATTAAGATCTCTAATAAYTTACCAAGCATAAAACACCTAATATTTATGCGATTGTCGTTGTTTAAAAAACGCGAGCAGAGAGCGAATAGATTAGATTTACCTATTATAGAAAGTCTTATTCAATGACAGCATTAAAGAGAAGTCAGTACAGAGAACTCTATTGAGACCGCGCTACCGTACATGCGGGCTATTTGTTTCCCGCCAAAAATCCTCTTTTTAAGATGCTGATTTTTCACATCACGCTCTTTGTCTTTCTTTGCTTCCAGACTAGGATTTTTAATCCAAATTATCCATTAACTGGTAATCATTATTTTTTTCTATCTTTCAAAGTACGATAACTTTGATCCAAGAAAAAGTATTTTTTAGTATGGTAAATTCCAAATTGATCAGCCACTAAAAATTCAAGCGAGTTTTCGTTTGTGGGGTATATATTAGTTTTATCTGTACATATTTCTTTCTGTATACACTTATTTCAATAAAGTTAGTCACCAAAAACCTAGAAAGCTGAGATCAATGAGCTTCATGGGAAACTTTTCATATCAAAAAAGCATATATATACAAAGCTTTTTTAATACAAACTGCAGCTCGATGATGCTCAGAAGAGGTGAGACTGTAACCGGTAAGAGATTCGCAAGTCCATCAACAGTTATCAAGCGGTTGAACGCGTAAAAAGAATCTATCCATAATCCTTGTCGGCCTCAGCTATATAGCTTTTCAGGTGACTAACTTTATTGAAATAAGTGTATCATATTCTTCTTTTTTTTTTTTTTTTAAGTTCGATATAAATACTTTTAAAAGTGATATTAGCCAATCTTCGAGTCAATCTGTTCCAGCACTCATTCAATTTTATCGTAGTGGCTTTGTAAACAATCTTTAGCATTTAGAAAAAGTTCTAGACAAAATAGCTTCCCATTCAGGAGAGAGTACAAAGGCAAGAAAGCTACTATTGAAATAATAACGAGTATAAAAGTAATAACATTCCAATTCCTTCGGTATTTGAAGCTGTAATCCGCCTGAGTTTCCCACAATTCCACCCCTTGCAGTACCGCATACACGATCTCGGCCTAATCTCTATGCATCGAATCTCAATAGACGTTCTCTGTCTTGAATTTTTTTGTAATTCGAAATATTGTTACAAGATTACAAGAGATTTGTTGGAATTGTCAAGATAAGATCTAGAATCCAGATTCACGAACATCGTGCCTGCCTGCAGTAATGTTATAGTATAGATCGATCCTCCAATTATATGATTTGGAAATTTTTTTAGATTTCACTTCGAGAAACTCTAGAACAATAAATTAGAAAACGCGGCGATTCATTTTTGGTCTGTACAATTGCATTTATCTAACGACAGACCTTGCGGGATTCGACCCGACATGTTCGGGTCGTATACATTAAAAAAGCGGGATATACAAATTGAGTCCAGTAATGTTCGACGGATTGAAGTAAACTCGTAATGAAATTGTAATCCACCCTTCGCCAAAATCGTAGAACAAACAGTACGAACAAATCGTTGTCGTTTTGAAACTCAATCGATAGAAAATTTCTGAGCAATAAAAAACAGAATTTATCGTCCAATTTCAATTGCGAAGTTGGTGCTAAAGTGTCTTCGAAAGACATGATAACTACACTGCTGATAAAACCATGGGATGACAAAATTGCGGTTCATATCTCTCTCTGTATTTGGATTTATTCGCTTGTTTCTTGGGCTCCAAATCGGCTGGAACTCCGGTTAATCAAGCCGTTATTAATTATGTATCAGTAGACGTAGCATGAAAGATGAATCCAATACAACTAAACTTGTCATTCGCATACGAAGCGAAAACATCCATTATTATTTCGAAGCTCAGTGAAAATTTCCAGCATTTAATATATTTTGAATGTGTTTTCTATTCGTTTCTTTGTGTGTTTTTCTCCGGGGCCTTATTTTTGCTGTTAAGCTTCGTTCGTCCGTCAAATGTACTAGAATATTTACTTCGATTATAGCCATCCAGTTTTTGCATATTTGAAGGAGGCTTTCCTATTCTGTCAGCCAGACCACTTCAACCGCGACTCGGAACGCCATATTCCATTCATCCATTCATTTCATTTCTTCCATTTACAAATCTGAATTTTTCAGATGTCCCCAGGAAAATTAGAGAATTTCCACATAACACTAACGAAATTAGGCTCTTAAATTCTCTTGCCTGATCGCGGGCTTCTTCGATTCTCGAGCTTTTCTATATTAGAAGTGCCATTTTCTGTTGTTTTTTTTCGGATGTTTTCTTTGGTATTAATATCCCAAAAGAGCAAAATACTTAAACACCAGTTTCGTATCTTAATTTAGCGTCTGAATATTCGACAGTCGGAAGAGAGTTTGAGACAACAGCCGTGTTGGCCTTTATACCCGAGGCCTTGCGGACCGAGTTCACATCTTCCATTTCTATCCCAATCACATCGGGTCCATTCATCCCATTTTGATCAATAACTTCGTACTGTGGTTTAACACCCCATTGGTTTGTTATATAGGGTGGTTTTTCGTGTTCTTCTTGTTCTTGTTGTTGTAAGGCCTCTTGTTCCTCTTTAAGCTTGCGTTCTGCTTCTTTCTTCTCTTTTTCTTTTTTACTTGCCTCTGCGGCCCGCTGCTCATTTTCACGGTGATAGAAATAGTTGAAATTACTGACTATTACCGGGACTGGGAGAGCTATTGTCAGTACCCCGGATATAGCACACAGGGAACCCACGATTTTCCCCCAAACAGTGATGGGTCTCATATCTCCGTAGCCCACTGTTGTCATCGTTACTACTGCCCACCAAAATGCATCAGGAATACTCTTGAAATGAGTCCCTTTTTCTCCTCCTTCCGCGTAGTAAACAGCCGAAGAGAATAGAATAACTCCAATAAGGAGAAAAAATATCAATAACCCAAGTTCCCTAAGACTCGCGCGTAGAGTATGTCCTAGAATTTGTAATCCCCTTGAATGGCGGGAGAGCTTGAAGATTCGAAAAACACGCACAAGTCGAATGACCCTTAACACGCCAAGGGATGAAGCTTTGGTATCTTGCATCGGTAATGTTATATAATACGGCATAATCGCCACAATATCGATAAGGTTAAGAAACGATCGCACGAAGACAAGTTTTTGAGGTGAAGATATTAGGCGCATGAAATATTCAAATGTGAACCATACAATACATGCTGACTCTAAGGAGAACCAAGGTTGGTCATACCTCTCGTTTTCTGCCCTAGTGCCGTTGATAGATCCAGCCATATCTTGTTCTTTCTTTTTCTGGAACTGTGGTAGTGTCTCGACACAAAATGTCACTATTGAAAGAGTAATAACAACCACGGAGAAGATAGCTACGAAGCGAGCGGCGAGCGAAGTGTCTGGGAACTCGAAGAGTTGCCAAATTTGTCTCTGAAATTTATTTTCCGGTAAAATGGGTTTTTCTTCCTCAATGTAGCCCTCCTCTTGTTCAACCTTGTGTAGTACGTCCTCTCCTAATTCATAAAATCGTATCTCATCCGCAAACACATCCATCGGCACGTTCGCGGGACGCAGTAATTTTCCTCCGGATTGGTAATAAAACAATATAGCATCAAATGCTGGTCGATTGCGATCAAAGAAATATTCATTTCGAATGCCATCGTAGTATTTTGCTCTCTTGGCTTCATTCCCCAGTAATGTATCCGGATTCTGTTCTAAGGTTTGAATGTGTGTTTCAAATTTTAATCCACTAACATTGATGACAATACGATCGGTCGTATCTGGTACGGCAGTAGAGTAAGATATGGTACTGTTATTGTTTGGCATTTGGTCTCCTCGGATAGCGCGAACGTGAGAGTTGTTTCGTCCGTCCGTGTTGCATCCCAGTGAAGATTTCTTGTCCGCTACTGCCGTCAATGATGGCACGCCAGAAATAGCATCCATGTCAGAACGCCTTTCAGTCAAGTATAACAAACCTGTGCCCGGATATAAGAGACAAATAAAGTCGATTAGGTAGTGAATGGCGCTCAAAACTAAATCATATTCATTGGGAATATACCTTTGTATGGACTGAGACATTCAGTGGAAGCCTTATACCAAAAGGAGAGAAAATATAACCAGACGAAAGAGAACACATTTTCTTAGGCAAGTCCTTTGAACGAACTACTGAGGCTTATAAATATTTCATCGCCACTCATTTATTAATTCAGGCATAAATTATCGAATTCTCAATAAATATAGGAGGTAAATATGTGTTGTAAACACAAGAGACTCAGTATATTCTGTCTCCGTGAAATTCTTCAGTTGATTTTACATTAACTCTTAATCTGGGTACCGTTTTTCGACTTCGGGCTTGGATTTCTATGGTAATAAGTCCGTGTATTTACAATTGAGAACAAAACAAAAAAGAGAAACTCGCAATTCCCCGTATAGATTGGGCAGATGTTCCTAAAACATCTTTATAAACACTAGTGGTTGAAAGTAGAGTTCCAAATTCCGAACGTGATACATTTATCACAACCTACCATGTTTTGAACATCAGGAAACGAATGAATTTTCGATGCTTTCTCCGGCAAATTTGACCAAAATCCCTGACAATAAATGTCCACCAATTGACTAGGAATTAAAGATCTTCCTCAGGGATTCTCTTTTGCATCGCTTGAGTCAAGTTTAGCAAACAGAATCGTGAAGCGCCATAGTTTTAATGTCGTCCTCCTTGATAGTGACATTGAATGCAAACATTCGTCCGTCTTGTATATATGGCTTACGGACGCAACGAATCAATAATATACACAGTTTCCCAGAGCGATTTGTGTCTTTTCTCTTCGCCGATTGATAGCCTAATTATTTTCTACTTGCACCGATTGTGTGTAGTTTGCGTTTCTGCTGGACGTAGTCGATGACTTGAGTGTATATTTATTGAGCGATCTTCGACAGTCCGCGGCTAAACCAAACGAAGACCTAAGAATTCGCCAAACGAGATTTTATCTAAATTCGGTCAAAATTTATGGCTTTCGTCTTTCCATCTTAGTTCTCCAGAATTTTATTCGCCATCGAGCACATATATTCCCAGTGGCTCGGTTTCCTAGCATTTGAAACTCGATTAGAAATTTGCATGACGGTTTGAAAAACCTGTTGCCCCCAGTAGGGGTGAAAATACTACTCTCTCTACCCTCCCTGGGAATGACGATTGTTGTGATACTATCTTGTGGCTTGAGATTAAAGTAAGCGAGCTCGATTCGTGTCATTTCGAGTTTAAGCGAATTGATTGTAATCACAGTTCAAAGCCGTTAACATTTGGCACTTGTGTTCGGTCGATAGAGCATGTCACACTAAGTCTCAACCGAAAAAAATAGTAACAAAAATCTGCCCACACAAATGAAAAATATCTACATCACACTACACTCGACTTGGGATAAACTTACTTTTAAAATGTAGGAGCTTTTTTGGACAACTTTATGCGGACTCTTGGAAGCCAACACTTTAGATTGATTTGTTTATTTTCAATAAAGACTACACGATTTAAAGTAATTTATTATAGATTTAAAACACGATAGAGTACGCTTGTTCGTACTCGTATTCGGGCATTCGTGAATTTTATACCTAGTGAAGAAATATTAACTGACCAGAATATAAACATATAGTAAAACATTCTTACGTATATAAATATCTAGCTAAATTCTGGGGTATTAAAGCCAGGGTTCGTGTCTATTACAAAGGCCAAATCGGTACAGAAATTCAAGTATTTACATATAAAATCTATATATAGATTTGCGTGTTTTGGAGGTTAAATTTTGACTCACCCGGGTGGGGAAAGGAAAGAATTAGTGTTAGGAAAAAACGTCAAATTGTTTGCGCTGTCCCCATCCAGAAGGACTTTTCTACCTGCTTGCCTGTATTGCCACCCGCATGAATAAATTAAAAGACACAAAAACAGAAAATGAAGAAAACAAACTATTTCAGAAAAACTACTTTTCTCCGCTCGGCAAAAAAAAAAAAAAACAACTTCAGAAATCTTTTTAGTTTTTTGAAAAAAAAAACAACTTCAGAAATCTTTTTAGTTTTTTGAAAAAAAAATAATAATAATAATAATACAAATTTCTCAATGATTTTCATTTCTAAGGATTCTATTACTTAAGTTGAATAAATGTACAAACATATATTTTTGAATATTTTTGTATCAGATTTCGTGAAAGTGTTGTTCTGAAGTGTTAGGAATACTAGCGAGAAGGAGAATATTTACAGAGAAAAAATTCAAGGCAAGAAATTCTGTTTACGAGTAAATATTTTGGGCCGACCCCCTGTAATGAAGAAAACTCAGAATAAATCAACGACACAAAGAAAATACTACTACTACTACGGCATTGAAAAGAAATGGAATGACTGCTAGATAATTGGCATAAACAATCGCGCCCTTTTAGGTGACAGGATCCGCGATGAATAGAAATTTGAATGGAACTGACAACAGAGACTATTTGAGTTTTGACCCATGAAATGGGGCCAAAATCAAGAATAATATCCCGTCCTTCCTTCCAGGAATTTCTCACCGTGCACTAATAATAATAATCATGGCTTTTCTATTTAAAAATAATAAAATTGCCTGTGAAATGATTGGCAGAAAACAATGGGGAAATTATCAAATAAAACTCGCGGTTGCTGTTGACTTTGTAGGAGAATATTGTTCCGATTTTGAACGAAAAAAATACCTCGAAGCGAGGATAAATTCCCATGGAAAACTCAATAATTCATTCTCTTAGAAATTCAGTGCGTAGATCTGAGAAAGTCTATTTTTTAAACCTTAAAATCTTCGAGTAGATAAATAATTGGCGAACCGAGTTTGTATTAATTAAGCTAAAATGAATATCAATATTCCCACTTGTTTTGGTATGTCCAAGATTTTATTAAATTTTTTCACCAGTGGATGGGAATTTTTCCATATGTTTAGTTGGTTGGTACAGAGGGCTAGTTACTCGAGATTTTGTTGGGATATTCTGCGGTTATATTGAGTTACTGTCAAGGAATGTTTTGGAGTTGTTTCCGATGAGTTTTTTTGACAATAGAAAAAAATTTTGGGGGTTAATATAATGTGTAAAATGCATGTGAATTGAGAAACTAAACGATATTGAAAAATT